TTTGGGGTATAGTATTTTATGTAAGGAATGTTATCTTACTAGGTTCAACCACCAAAAAAGCGCTACTCATGTGGAAGCTTCTTATGAATGGGCATCCTTGGAAGCCCTGGGATTCTAGCAGGGGTTGTTATACAAAGACTATCTTGAAAAACTCCCATATGTGCGGAGTGTAGAGGGCGCAGTGTTTTAGGGATAGCGGATTTAGGCTTCAGCATTGCAAGCGAAACGTTTGCGCGAAAAAATGACCATTTTTTGTGGCTCTCTGTTTAGGGTTTAATGGTCCTATGTCAGAGGCATGTAAAGACCATGACGGGGTGTCGGGATCATCATCATGATGCTGTTCAGTCTCACTTCAGTGATTATGTTTTGTAACGACATGATCGTTTGACCCGTTCTTATGTGTGTGTGTGTATGTATATATAAGAGTAATAACTAGCCGAAGCAGCAGCAGCAGCAGCAGCAGCAGCAGCATTAGTAGAGGCCTTGGGGCATCTAAAAACCTACAGTGCCCGTACTGCTTGTATATAACTTGTAAAGCTCATTTACGTGCATTTTGAAAGGGGCCCTCCTAAATGAGACTCCAAATGGCCATGTAGGCTAGCGTGGCACAGGGCGCATGGTGGTGAGCACATTTCGTGTGCTTGCCATCCCGGTTTTTTTTTCCTGCGCAACTGATCCATGCAAGTTTTGCATGCGCTAGGGTTATGCTTTAGATTGTACAAGCTCCTATTACCACTTGGATTTGAAGCCATGTTCTGTACTTGACCGTTTTTGGCAAACTCTGGGAAGGCCATTGGTGCAGCAAAGAAGAGCGGCAAGAAGGTGGTTGTCATTGCAGACGCTTGGCCGATTGCATGGGCTAGGGGTGTTTGAGGCCAGGGTATCCAGCTGTAGTCTTTAAGACGCGGTAGGAAATCGGAATATACAGGTAGTGTAATTTGCGTTTGTAAGTTCCAGCATTCTACCTACCTGCGGAGGGCATTATGAGGGTTAAAGGTTTAGGAAGCTGCAAGTTAATGACGTTGGGTTGGCTCTTCCTCCTGTCCCTCGCCCCTCTTCATCATGGTTCGGACAGTTCATGGCAACAAACAACACATGCTTATACCGTCGTTACAATGATTGTAGATCTAGTTGCTACGGTGCTAGTCACAGGTACCACTAGTCCTCATCAACCTAAAGAAGAAGATCGGCGTGTTGTATGGACGGCCTGTTTATGGCGATTTCCCAAAATTGGGGGGTACCATCTTGGAGGTCCCCTCAGTAAGGATAATAGCTTTCTAGGGGGGGCCTATAGAATACAGGGGTCACCCTATTTTGGCAAGCTACCTGATGAGCATCTGATAAACATCTTATCTGTTTCTGGAGTGGGAGACATGGCCATGCGGGACCAATCGAGGAAGAACTCGACCCCGTAAGGGTTACCGGTTACCGTTTATGTAGGCACCTGAGTAAGGAAGACTTCTGTTTTTTGAGGACCCCAATGGTCGGACCCGTGTATGGGATGAAGTCCTTCTCATCCTTCCGGCCCCGACAAAGCTGGAGAAGGCCCTGAGGGAAGTAATTATGCCCCAAGGGTTGAGAATCCCAGCTCCGTGAAAATAAAAGTAAGCCTTGAGCACCCAACAAAATCTGTAACCCTAAAACTGCCCCAATTCTTGATATATACCTTATAACCCTTATAGAACGGGTTATAGTAGTTTCCATTTTAGTTTCCGTTATCCCCAAATAACCCCAATATAACCCCTATTCAGACCCTAAACCCTAAACCCCAATCCAGAGCCGCTTAGGTGGGAGGAGGTGTGAACGGCAACGCGACTGGCATGATTGCAGCAGCTCGGAAAGATCCGGGCATGAGGTCATGAGAACTAATAGAATATTATTGACATGGTGTAATTCAAAGCCACCTACCCTAAGGTTGCGAAGGTATTGTCAAGCCAAAAACAGCCCCGGTCATCGAACATGTCTTCAAACGAATCGCAAGGGAGTTTTAAAGATCTCGCCCTGAAATCATGTTGCTGATGCTTGTTGGCCAGTGACTTAAGCAAAAGGTACAAGAGACTCCTAATATCGTAATATCTTAACCGTGCAGTAATACTGTCACAAGAGGAGAATGGTAATGCAATAGTTATGCAGTACTGTCAAACACAAAGTTTATGAAGAACATGGCTTTGATACACTAGTGTTTACATAACGGAAACTTCAAACTAACAGCGCAGAACAATGTATTCATCATAACCATGACAATGACGCAAAAGGAGTAGCAATATCATATAGTCCGCATTCAAGACAATAATGCAACCCTAGACCCTCAACCCATCTAGTATGTGCCGGCCGGCCATCTTCCCTTGCCACCCTCGTCGGACATCATCCATATGAGCAATGGTCTAAACTAAACTCCACAAAGGGGGCTATATACGAGATTATATAGGGGAGTATTTTTTTTAAGGGTATCAAAGGGGATACTAGGAGTTTAGACTATAGCTCATGTGCAGCAGCAGAGGTCACTAAATTCGCAGGCTGCATTTTCGGGATTGTATCGGGATAGGTATTGGTTATAAGGGCGTATATAGGGATATATATGGACATACCAGTGCTTGTGTGGTAAATCTACATGAAGCACCATGAAAAACCAAACTGAATATGAAATAGACTGAGACATGGAATTCATGCTGAATTTCTCACGGTCTTTTAAGTTCTGTTCCTGCCAAACGAAAAAACTAACCCCCTAAACCCTCAACCTCAAACGACACATAAAACTTGCACGCCGTAGCTACTTTCAGCATGTACTCCGAAACTTTGTCCAACACGATACCTCGCGCCCAACCTCTAAAGTCAGTTCATCCTTAGCCTCTACACGGCTCAGCGTTAAAGATTTACGGTTTAAGGTTAGGGTTTATGGCTTAAATAGGGGGACCCCCAACAGCCCTTATTAGTGGGACCCCAAAAAGAGATTCCTGATTTTGGAAAACCCCCAAAGACTGAGACGATGCCTCTACGAATGAGGCAATGACCGGATCGGTCTTCGTGGAGGTTCCAACCACTCTGATGCATTATAACGATGCCACCACCTCCGCGAAGAAGGCTTTCAGCTGCTCAGCCTTCAGATGGGTGGTTGTCAAAATTATGGCCCGTTTTGGGGTACCCTAAATATTAGGTGCCGTGTTATAGTAAGGATCCAAAAAGGGACCATAATTTTGACAACCACCCAGATGGGTGTTTCTCGAAAGGAGGGCCAAGGGATACATTTACAAGGGGCTTTGAGCACCTGGACCCCACAAGGAGACAAAATAATCCCAAGAATTTAAGAATAGCTCAAAAGAATATTAGTCTACACATGTTTGGGGTTCAGGTAGTGATCATATAGGGAATATTTTGGAAGAGCAGCCAAAAGAGGGTTTCTGAAAATTGTGAGCCCTTGGCTATGCCGGGGGTATGCGGGGATAACCAATCTGGGCTGTGGGTTTCTGGTGTTGCAGTCTAGTTAAGGTTTAGGGTTTAGGATATACTTCTATACAATTATTTGGTATCATTTTAGACAGCGATAGGAATTATAAGATTGCGCCCGAACACAGGTTTAGTCTGGTTCACATATATTTTGTAAGCCCTGCCTACGACCGTATGTGCAGCTCCTGCGGCATTAAGTCAAGGACAAATAGCAGAGGTGACGAGCGTAGGACGACGAAGCTCACAAAAGAAGAAATGGGGTCTACAAAATTGCGGGGTACTAGTTGTGCGTCCCAAGAATATGGATTATGTTGAATAGACCTTAGAGAAGCATCTACAAGGTTGCTAAGGCCACCCTGATTTTGAGAAATTCACCCCCCAACCCCAAATCTTAAATCCTATAGACACCACCCCTCCTGGTGTATTCTCCAATAGTGCTCAAAAACCTGTCATGTATGAAGTGTTGGAATCCTTCTCCTTGCTGGCTGTCAGTGGGGAATGGAGGAATGGAAAAGAAAATGGAAACTACTTAATTGTTGTGGTTTAGGGTTGAGGGTGTTATGCAGGGGCCATTATGAGGATTCTATAACTACCTACTCACAATGCTCAAGCCTATAACAGCTTCCATTATCTTTCCAGTCTTCCATTCCCTGCTGGCCACAAGTAAGCCCTACATAGCCCCTGTAGAAGCCCAGTTATTTGATTTCAAGTTCCATTTGGTTTCCATTCCTCACTAGCAACCAGTAGTTCTCGTGGCTAAGGCTTGGTCGTGAATGGGCAGTCACTTCGATGCAGAAGGGTTCGGGGGTCTCTTTAACGCGGAGGGTGTAGTGAGCCTAAGGGGGATGTCAGCGATGAGGTTTTGGGGGGTAAGTTAGCTTTTTGGCCTATGGAGCATACATGGTTTAGGGTAGGACCCTCAACCCTAAACCCTGTAAAAAAACTATGGCCTTGTTATACTCAGGGTTCTTTGGCTTGCAAAACGGTATGTAGGGCGCAGTTCTGGACCAATAGCCAAGCAGTCAAAGTGCAACCAGATTTTCCTCAGCCTTTTAGCGGTGTAGGGTTTAGGCCTATCCTACTGACGCCACTGCATTTCAGCCTAGAGATATGGGAATTTCTACCCCCGAATAGTATTAGAAATATCCCTACTGCAGGACCCCGACAACAAAAAGGGAACTGCAAATTTCTGGAGATCTCCAGAGAAGAGATAATCGGAAGATAGTTCCCCCATTTTGGGCCTGTTTTTGGGTTTCAGAGTTTCAGTGTTCCAGCGGTCTAGCGTTTGGGGTTCACGGGCGGTTCAGGGCCTGGGGTCTTTTCACAGCTTAGGGATAGATCAATGTTGGTGGTCTGCTGATTCCTTGGGTCGGGACAGGTCAAACCTGACGAGGCCAAATAGAGACTCATGACTCCAAGTGCTAGCCTCAAATCATTCCTCGACTTCCTGGTGCTCCAAGGGCTTGTATTTACGCCCCCATTCCTTCTGTGAAAACCTGTCCGGCCCTAGTCAAGCATGATATCCCAAGAGCCCTAAATTGTGCACCCGCGGGAAGGATCCTATCGAAGAACATCTTGGGCACATTCTATTTGCCCCAGCTGGTTTTCTGCATCAGCGAGACCTTCCTGACCTTGCGCCTTGACAATTTAATGTTGAGGTTTGGGGCTTTAGCTTCACTAGTCTTGGTTCATAAGTGCTACAAGAAGAGAGTGTTGCAAACCCAACCTAAAATTCGGACACCAGAAGAGTCTTTTGATAGGTATAGGCTGTAGGATTCTCTTTTTGCGGGTTGAGGTCACCAAAACCCTCTTACTACCCACTATAAGACCCTATAAAGACACCTACGTTAAATGACCCCAGTTCCATTTGATGTTCAATCTGATTCTTGACTATAGTGCTTGCGGTTGCCAAGCTGCTGTTCTTCATACAAACCTTCTACAATCCCGGTATGGCCACTTATATAGTTCTGTATCTAAATCTCCACGAAATCCTAAACCCTAGAAGTCCCAAATGCTCAAGCTTATGGAATAGGTGGAATTTGTATAGGGCAAGGGTCAAAACAAGAAAAATATCAAAACGTTTATCGAAACCTGCCCAAAAACTTCACAGGGTTCCTATACAATTTCAACTTCTGCAACTTAGAGTCGTCTATAATTTATAACCCATACACAAAAGTCACAAAAGATAAATCGACCCCAAATCCTAAACCCCGAAATCCTAGACCCTACATTGCTAGGCGCTAAATCCTGGGTCAGGCCCTAAATCCTGAGTCCTAAGCCTAAACCGCGTGCCAACCTGAGGTCCAAGTGCAGCGTGCATGCTGCGGTTGGCGAGGCCTGCAAGACGCCACTTGGCTTCAAAGGCAATGGTTTAGGGTTTAGGGTTTAGGGTTTATGGCAGTCTTCTCCACGCCGTTTGCGGTTAAATAGGTAGGGTTCAGGGTTTAAGGGGGGGTTACTGTAGAATGACCAACATTATGTACAACTATGGTACAGCGTTCCTCAAACTGTCCTGGTTTGTGTCAGACCTTATTCCAATAGATAATCGAGAATCAAAGGGAAAATGAAATGGACAGTTGAATCGGTGTAGGGATTGTATGCTACGGTTGGGAGGTAGGACACAGACTTAGGTACTATAGCTGCATACATGTTCCGCCAACAGCATGAGCCCAACATTTTCTTGTATGTAGTCCTCATCCTAACCCCTAAGCGCTGAAGCACTTTCCCTACACTCTAAACCCTAATCGTTAAAACTTCAAACCCTAAACCCAAAACCTGAAGCGTTGGGTCGAGGATGGGCATGCTCGGCATCGCAAACTCCAAGACACTGGGTCTCAGTTGGGCGCCAGCTTTGCCTCTTCAGGTTTACCTGGGCCCCAAAAGTAGGTAAAATAACAGCCAGAAACAGCCCAGAAGGGCATTATTCTACATACTTTTGGCGTTCAGGTAGGGTTTGGGGGGACGTCTTGGTGGGCCTTCAAAGGGTGAATGTAGGGATAAACAGCAGTTCTGTGGGATGGCTTTAGACTGTATGTGCAATAGTCGAAACTCCTTAAAGTGGGGCTTGATAGGGGATTGTATAGGGGACTACTATAGGGCATATTAAGGGGGATACTAGGAGTTCAGACTGGCTCATATGGGTTCGCTACCCAAATTGTGGAGCATCAAAAAGGGAAAATGGACACTGGGATAATGTAGCGGTTTCTAGGGATGTCCTCAAAAATTTGGTGGTCCTTTTGGGTGTATTAATATTCCTTGTCATATCGTATTTGGAGATACACGTGGGCAACCTTTTCTTTACATATCTTTATTCTGCACGTTACACGTCTTGTGTGCTGGATCCTTAGAAGAAGTATGTTTTCTCTGAGAATCCGGGTCAATCTCGATACGCTCCATATTATCAATAGGAATCATTGCAAGCCCTATGTTTTTTAAATTACCTGTATCACTTTAACGGCCGTTTGAACTACTCTTTGCTATTTTTGTACCAGGAGGCGTGTAATCTTGATTAGAGGGCTTTTGTAGACCCAACCCTAGAAAGAGTCATATGATAGTCATGGGGTCCTGATTTCGTTAAACCTTATACTCACTATCACCCCGCTGTAGCCCACCATAACATTGGGCCTCTAGATTAATCGAGGGATCAGATTCCCTACGCTAGAGGTTCCAACCCCAAACCCTTTGGAACCTCATATCCCCCAACCCTTAACACGAAACCCTTAACCCTCAAAGCTGAATCCCAAACCCTTAACCCTAAACCCTAAACCATAAACCCTAAATCAAGGACTGGGCAGGATGATTGGCACAACATCCTTGGAGGGGTAGAGCCCCTCGGGCCTAGTCGAAGCTTGGAAGTGTGGGCCAATAGGGTTTAGGGTTCAGGGGGTTTAGGGTTTAGGGTTTAGGGTTTAGGGTGTAGGGTTGCAAGTGTGGGCCAATAATGTGAGTATGTTGGCGATATAGCGGGCTTATGTAGAGTTATATAGGGTTATACAGAGTATATATGGGGGCTATAGTAGTCCCCAATTTGGTTTTTCGATCATAGCCTCCTTACGTGTAGAGTGCTTCATAGCTTTTGTAAACCCAACCCTAGAAAGAGTTATATGATAGTCATGGGGTCCTGATTTCGCTAAACCCTATAATCCCTATCACCCCGCTGCTGTAACCCACCATAACATTGGGCCTCTAGATTAATTGAGGGATGAGATTCCTTACGCTAGAAGAAGTGAGTTTTTGGGTTGTTTCTAGGGGCCGTCAGAAGTATTTGCGAAAAAAAAGTCAGAGTCATAGTCACCCTTTTTTATGATAGATCTTTGCCGGGGGGGAGAGATTTGGGCCCACTTATTTCAAACAGATCTCTGGACCTACTTCTGCTACAGTGGGGGACTGTTCAAAATTGGTCTGGGAGAGCCTGTTTTGGAGTCAGCATTGTCCGCATGAGGCATCGTGCATTGCGGCGGCTGCTCGCATGTTTTACAATGAAACCCATGATCTGGAACAGTCACTGGCACCCCCCAACATGGACTCCACCAGGAAAATCGAGTCAGGCAGATATGTTACTGGATTTTCGTGCACAAAGACGGTTTCAAATTGCTACACGCATAACTATAGGTCGTGATCTGTGGGTTTTTGTGTGAGTCTGGGGTCAAGAAAGGTTCGCCAGCGACTTCACGAAGATCATCGAGACCGTCGGAGGCAAACAGAATTTAGATGTTCCCAGGACTCAGAGGGCTCTGCTTTGGTATTGGTGTTCTCTTTTAATATGATATAGTAGTGTCCATTTTCTTTTCCATGTATCGCAATAAAACCCAAATACACTATAGTAGTTGCTTTCCGTTTTCTTTTCCATTATCCCAATATAACCCATATGGTATTGGTATTCTCTTTAAAGCAACCATGGTCTGCCTGATTCTCTTGCATTTGTTACAGGAAGCCTTGCTGGTTGTGTTAGTACAATATTCTCGGAGAGTTATAGAGGGGCTGCTAGGGACCCAGTTGCAATGTCATGTTCCATTTGCTGTTCCACTTTCCCGCCTTTTTTTTCAAGCCCTAGATTCCCTAAATCCTAAACCGCCCTAAACCCTAAACCCTAGACGGATGCCTGCCTCTATGGTCCGAAGCATATAGGGTATATCATAGGTATATAGTCCCCCTTAAGTAGATAGAATATGGGGTATATGGGGATCTTATTATAAACTACCCAAAGCCATATTCCATCTACTTAAGGGACTATATGAACTAGATGAATTACAGGCCCACATTAGGGGCCCGCATTTCCTACCAAAAAATTGTAAATCTCCCTTGTAAAAAAGGCAAGGCCCTAAACCCTAACCCTGTAATCTCCTTAGGAATTCCTTTCCTTGCTAACATATCATAACCCTATAAGGAATTAGTAAGAACACATTGTTTCATTATAGGTCTAAGAGCACTACCTGAACCCCAAAAGCATGTAGAATGATAGCCTTTTGGACGATTTTTAATGGTTTTGGGCTATTATTTTGCCTAATTTTGGGGTACCCTAAACCCTAAACCCAAGGGGAGCCTGGCCGCTAGGCTTCGAGAAGCTTATTCGCTTCCTGCAGAACACGCGTGAGCTCAAGGCCAAGGCCTTGGCTCTGGGAGAGGACGGCCACACGCTTAGGGGTCTAGGGCTTAGGCCCTAAAATCTTATCCCCCAAGGCCCTAAACTGTAGGGCCTTAGGGTATAAGATTTTGAGTTTGGAGTTTAGCGCCTTAGGGATAAGATTTCGAGTTTGGGGTTTAGGGCCTTAGGGTATAAGCTTAGGGTATAAGATTTTGAGTTTGGGCTTAAGATTCAGGATTTAGGGTGTTTGGGGTTAAGTTTTCCTATGCCCTCATCAGGACACACCCCCTCACTCCCCTAAGAATGTAATATTTGATATAAGTGGTGTGGGGTCGGGGGTTCGTGCTGGGGCAAAGGGACTACTGCTGGTCTGCTTCCAGTGTTCACGTAAGGCTGTAAACTTTGAATAGTAGAGGATCAAACGATGGGACCCGGTTTAGATCTGGGCTTCATAGGGATTGCATGTAGGGGCCTACACAACCTTCATAACCTGCATAGCCTACACAATCAAAATAGGATTTTGGGTCACAGCACGTACCATAAGTCTATAAGCGCAATAAACGTGCAGATGGATTGCGAACGAATTCTGACTTGTAAATTGGGATTCCCTCTTTGTGGCTTCCGGGTCCTAGACAAAGGATGGTAGTAGGTTGAGGGTTAGATTCGGTCGCGATGTACGGAAGCCGACGGAAGCTTACAAAATCATGGCGCTGTGGCTTCATCTGCAGTGGCCTTTATTAGATTTCGGCTGGCCGGCCTTGCCCTTTTCACAAGCTGGTCCTCCGGTTTAGGAGTCTATGGGGCACCATCTCAAAAGTGGAGAATCCAATTGAAAAGAACATGGGAACAGGTTTACTCTGAGGGTTTCTAGTTTTGACGCATAAAATCCTCCAATGCTTTGGTATACTAGAATATTGAAATTTCCCAGGCATAAGGTACTAGGGGTCACTCAGGGTTCTTAGTATCCGCCATATGAGGCCGATTCAAACTCTGCGTGAGAGCTCAGCCGCCATGCCCCCCGGCCGGCCTCCGACCTCAGCCCACCCAGAAACCTTAATCCCTACCCCCTACAAGAGAGCTTCTCACAATCAATTTTTCTATTCCTAAACCCTAAATCAAATGTTTTTCCATCCTTAAACCCTAAACCCTAAATTAGATCTGGCGGGTATTCTTGGAGATTGCAAGCAGATTCCATGTCACGTTGCCGAGCCTTCTATAGGAGCTCAGCGCTATGCGCATGGAGCGAGCCTCTTACGGGCAGATGGCCAACGTCGCGAAGCACAGGGACCCTGGGGCAGAACTTGCTCAAAAATCCTGATTAGGCTTTAGGGTTCAGGGTTTAGGATTTAGGGTTCAGGGTTTAGGGTGTAGGGTTCAGGGTTTAGGGCGGGAAGCGTAAGGATTTTGGGGTGTAAGGTTGGAAGGGGGGAGGAATATGAGAACTGCAGGTTTAATTGTAAGCTATCCAAATACGGCAAATGCCCATTCTAAGTCTAGTCATACCACCATTAATCCTGATCGCAGAGGTATTTGCCCAAGAGCCCAGTTTATCCAAAATCCTTGCAAGGGGAACATAGGCCAAGTAAGTAGCATTTTCAATGGGATACTTTCATGGGCTACGATCGTCCCGGATGCAAAGCAAGATAATATTATCTTTTGGGATTTAATCTTTTGTAGCAAGATGATGACCGTAACTGTACTTTGTGCAGCCACCAAAGGGAGTGTAAACCCTAAATTCCATATATCCCCTACATGTCCCTGGACATTCTAAGATATCCCTAGAGAAGCCCTTTAAAGGGACCCCGCTAACCTTTGGAGAATGCAAGGAGAAGCGTCTTTTCGAGCTCCGCCGATACTTCCACGGTGCCCTGCCACCACAGGGTGGTCTCAAGAACTTCTTGGTCCCTTTAAAGGGGCTAGTTAGTAATGTACGGGGGTTTAGAGGGGATATGTGGGGATAGATGGGGTTTAGTGTTTAACGGCTTCCAAAACTTAGGGGTCCTTCTTTTGCAGGTGTGCAGGTGCTTATAATGAGGACTACACACGTATGTGTATATATATATATATGTATATATGTATAGCTTTGGGACATACAAGGGCGATTTTTTGGAAACGCCCACAATGTCACAGAGAACTTCGCCTTTGAGATAATTCTGGGGTTTTGCATTTCCCTAGCAGGGCGAGGATCACGAATTGAGGAACCTAGCAGAAATTTCAACGCGCGTTTGTGCGATTCTGACCTCAGCGAACCAGATACTGGACAGCCACCAGAATCCGCAGTTGATGGTGAGGGTGGCAAAGATTATTCGCTTCTTTCGCCGTGAGTGGAGAAGCACATGAGAAACGAAGTAGATACTACAATACGGTTTAGGGTCTACTTGAATCCTCAGACGGACTTCCAGATACCGTTGTATTTTCCATCTCGTTTTTCCGTTTGATTTTACATTATTGGCAATTATTGGAGAACTACTTATACGGGTAACTTTAATGTGGTTATAGGCGGACACGACGTTCACCCGTCAACTTTCTGAGTGTGTCCCAGTTTGGCGCAGGTCCGCAAGGCCCGTACAGGTTCTTACAAAACATTGCCCCCCGAAGACCTAAGATGCCAACTGCTTGCCAAGCTTGAACTTGAAAATCCAAAGCCCAGAACCAGACCCCTAAACCCTGAACCCTAAACCCAGATTCTGGACTACTATAGGGGCTTATTAAGGGGGATACTAGCAGACCCTAAACCCGGATTCTAATACTTGGCTCAACCACTGCACCAAACTCAGCCGTCCCTGAAGGATCCCCGTACAACCCCTTTACAAGGGACAGGTTTTTGGGTCCAGGGTTTAGGGTTTAGGGTTTAGGAATTAGGGTTCAGGATTTAGGGCTCAGAGTTTAGGACTTCAACCATCCCATCCCAATCCGCTTTACCCTGCGTATGGGAGCTAGCGAAAACCTATCCCTATAGAATCCCTCGGCTTTCTCGGGGCTCCTTTTCAGAGAGACTCGTTTATCAGTCGTTTTAAGTTTTGCTTCTACAGCCTAATGCTGAGCAAGGTTATATCCTGTCCTCCTCTTGCTTGTAGTACTTGGTATACGAGTACTGTAGCCTTTACCTGGGTCAATCAAAACGAATTTCAGGTGGGTAAGCTTTTGATAGCCCTTATATACTCCTAGTCTGCCATAAATCCACCTGGGAGTTGCCCTCAGACATCCACTATTCTAAACCTTGATGCCTCGACCCTAACCCTCAACCTTACACCCTAAAACCTTAACCCCAGACCCTAGAACCTCAACCCTACAGTACATCCTAAAACCTAAGCCCTAAACCCTAATACTTATAACCTGAACCCTATAACCTGAACCCTGTTCTCACCGGCTAAGGTCAGCTCACCTCGGAGGATCGCTCCGAGGTCATTAAGTTCCTTACTGCAGCTTGGGCTGGTTGAAGCAAGCAATAACCAGGAATAAACATGAGTTTTCATGTTTTGAGGGTTTAGGGTTTAGGAAATAGGGTTGGGGGTTTAGGGTTTAGGGGATCCATTTCCTTGACAGGGGTGGGTCCAAGGGGGGGTATGTAGGTACTGGGGAAGCTTAGGAAGCTTTGGGGAGTACTTATTTCATTGGAAGGACCAGGGAGTGTTGGAGATTACTAGGTACCTAGCCCCCTTCAACCACCTACCCGTCGCGGTCTTGGAAAGTAATGTCTGTAGGCTCTTTGAAAACAATTTGATTTTTTTATCTAGAACCCGAAGAAACAACTGCAATCAGAACTTCCACCCGGGTTCCAGGAAAGTTCGAGATGTAAAGATCTAGATGGTCCCTTCACATTAGTGAAACAACCCCCCCACCCCTAAGATTGAATATTTCCCATCATGTAGAAATGGTCCCAACATTGCTTCATTCAGGTGTAGTGCTTCTACAAAGTTAGCAAGCCAAGCAAAGTACAGACGTACAGGGCACTATAGGAGTTTCTATACTGCGAGGCTCCGGGGACCTAGTAATTGAGTAGGGATAGAAACGGATGAAAATAAGCAGACCCGCTCCAAGTAGAGGACTTGGTACCACCCTTCTTTTAACATATTTACCAGCTCCCCTCAGCCCTGAAGAAGGGGCTTTATGGAGGTTTGTGGTTTTGGGTTTCCAGACTTCGAGGCGTTGGCACCAAGGTCTTTGGGAAGCCTGGGGCTTGCACCGATGGATTGTCAGGCACTAGCAGACTTGTGAAGATGAAAGTTTAGAATCCAATATACAATAGTAGTTTCCATTTTCTTTTCCATAATCCCAATATACTATAGTAGTTTCCATTCTCTTTTCCATTATAAAGATAGTGATGATGATAATAATGATAATAGCAATAGCTGGGTTGCTGTTAAGGA